CATTGACTTTCTCTATTGTTTTTTTAGTCTCTATTTCATTTATTTCGACACTGATTTTTATTATTTCCTTCCTTCTACTGATTTTGGGCTCTGTTATTCTTTTCTAGTTCCTTTAGCTACTCTGTTAGATTGTTTATTTGAGGTTTTTCTTGGTTGTTGTGGTAGGCCTGTATTGCTATAAACTTCCCTCTTAGAACTGCTTTTACTGTATCCCATAAATTTGGGTATATTGTATTTCATGTTCATTTGTCTCCAGGGATTTTTTTAATTTCTTCTTTGATTTCTTCATTGACCCAATCGTTGTTCAGTAGCATTTTGTTTAATCTCCACATATTTGTGGCTTTTACACTTTTTTTTTCCTGTAGTTGATATCTAGTTTAATACTATTGTGGTCAGAAAAGATACTTAGTACATTTCAATCTTCTTAAATTTATTGAGATTTGTTTTGTGGCCCAATATGTGACCAATCCTGGAGAATGTTCCATGTACATTAGAAGAGAATGTGTATTCTGTGGTTTTTGGGTGGCATGTTCTGTATATATCGACTAAGTCCATCTGGTCTAATGTGTCGTTTAAGGCCAGTGTTCCCTTGTTGATCTTCTGTTTGGATGATCTATCCATTGATGTAAGCAGAGTGTTAAAGTCTCCTACTATTATTTTGTGACTGTCTATTTCTTCTTTTATGTCTGTTAATAATTGCTTTATATATTTAGGTGCTCCTATGTTGGGTGCATAGATATTTACAAGTGTCATATCCTCTCGCTGGATTGTTCCCTTTATCATTATGTAGAGCCTTTCTTTGTCTCTTGTTACAGTTTCTGTTTTAAAGTCTATTTTGTCTGATATAAGTATTGCTACCCCAGCTTTCTTTTAATTGCCATTTGCATGGAGTATCTTTTTCCATGTCTTCACTTTCAGTTTGTGAGTGTCTTTAGATCTGAAGTGTGTCTCTTGTATGCAGCATATATATGGGTCTTGTTTTTTCAATCCAATTAGCCACCCTATGCCTTTTAACTGGAGTGTTTAGTCCATTGACATTTAAAGTAGCTATTGATAAGTATGTACTTATTGCCATTTTGTTACTTTTTTTTCTGGGTGTTTTAGTAGTTCTTCTCATTCCTTTCTTCTTCTCTTGCTCTCTTCCCTTATGGTTTTATGGCTTTCTTTAGTATTATGTTTGGGTTCCTTTCTCATAATTTTTTGTGTATTTATTATAAGTTTCTGGTTTGTGATTACCATGAGGTTCATAAATATTAGCCTACATATATAGTAACCTATATTAAGTTGATGGTCTCTTAAGTTTGACCTCTTGCTAAAAACTCTACTCTTTTACCACCCCCCCCCCCACATTTGATGTCTTTTGTATCATATTTAACCTCTTTTTTTGTGTGTGTGTATCTGTTAATCTCTTATCATGGAAATAGAATATTTTAGTACTTTTGTCCTTTGACCTTCATATTAACTTCATAGGTGGTTGATCTGCTACCTCTACTGTATATTTGCCTTAACCAGTAATTTTATTTTATTTTTTTGGATAATTTTCTTATTCCTATTTGTAGTCTTTTCTTTTCCACTTAAATAAGTCTCTTTAGCATTTCTTGTAGGCTGGTTTCTTGGTGATAAACTCCTTTGTTTTTGCTTCCCTTGAAAACTCTTTATTGCTCCTTCCATTTAACAATAACCTTGCTGGTAGAGTATTCTTGGCTGTAGGTTTTTTCCTTTCAGCACTTTAAATAAATCATGCCACTCCCTTCTAGTCTGTAAGGTTTCTGCTGAGAAGTCAGCTGATAGCCTTATGGCATTTCCTTTGTATGTAACTTATTGTCTTTCTTTTGCAGTTTTTAGGATTCTCTCTTTATCTTTAGTTCTTGACATTTTAATTATATTGTGTCTTGTTGTGGGTCTCTTTGGGTTCATCTTCTTTGGTGCTCTCTGTGCTTCCATTACCTGGATGTCTGTTTCCTTCCTTAGGTTAGGAAAGTTTTCAGCTATTATATCTTTGAATAGATTCTCTGCCCCTTTGTCTCCCTCTTCTTCTTCTGAGACACCTATAATATGTATGTTAATGTGCTTGATATTGTCTCAGAGGTCCCTTAGACTGTCCTCATTCTTTTTAATTTTCTTTTTTCTGTTCAGCTTGGTTGATTTCCTCTTGTCTTTAGTCCAGCTTGCTGATCTGTTCTCTGGTATCATCCACTCTTCTATTTGTTCCCTCTAGTGAATTTTACATTTCCATTATTGTATTCTTTATTTCTGATTGATTCTTTTATATATTTCCCAATTCTTTTTTGAAATTCTCACTGAGTTCATCCATTCTTCTCCCAAGATCAGTGAGCATCCTTATGACTATTAGTTTGTACTCTTTATCAAGTAGATTGTTTATCTCTGTTTCATTTAGTTCTTTTTCTGAGGATTTTTCCTGTTCCCTTATTTGGAACATATTCCTTTGTCTCCCCATTTTGCCTTCCTCTGTGCTTATATCTGTGTTTTAGGTAGATAAGCTATGTCTCCCAATCTTGGAGGAGTGGCCTTATGTAAGAGATGCCTTATGAGGTCCAGCACTGTGCTTCTCTCTTGTCGCCAGTTCCAAATGTTCCAGGAGTGTCCCCTGTGTGGGCTACATGGGTCCTTCTGTCGTGGTGGGGTTGCTCTGACTGCATGTGCGTGGGAAGGCTAGGCTGTACCCCTGGCTAGCTGGTTGTAATGCTCAGCTATGTGTGGCTGCTGCAGTCCCTTCAGTCACTTTATTGGGCAGGGGGAGCCCCAGCACAGTTGGTTGCAAGGTCTAATAGCACATTCCTGCTGCAGTTTTTCTGTTAAGTAAGTAGGCCCACAGTGTGGCTGGTTGGTAGGCTCAGGGGCTCACAATTGCTGTAGGCCTCTAGCCTGCAAGGCTGTTGTCAGCTGTCTCAGGAGTGCAGCTGGGTGGGGCCAGCCCTGGGCGTGGCAGCACACAATTGTTTCAGGCACTGGAAGGTGGGGCAGATCCCCTGTATGTGGTTTAAGATTTCTCTCAGCCGTAAAGTGCCATGGCTATAATGTGGCTTTTTCCCTCTCCAGAAAGGTATTTCTGCCTCTTCCACCGTAGTCAGCACTGTTCCTTGTTGTGGGGTTCCTTTTATCCAGTTTCTGGTTCTCTCTTAGGGGTAATTGTTCCAAGGATAGTTGTAAATTTGTTGTGTCTGTGGGAAGAGGTGAGTTCAGAGTTCTCCTATGCCACCATCTTCCCAGCCTATACCATTGTTTTTTCAGGGAAAGCATTTGCTGAGCCCCTCACTCTGCCATTCCTGAAGTCCTGCCTAATTTATGTTTTAAAAGATCATTCTGATAGCAGTGGAAGATCAGTTGGGTGCAGGGAAAACTGGTGGTCAGGAGTACAAAATTTTACACATTATAGTCATGCACTACCTAACAACATTTTGGTCAACGATGGACCACGTATATGATGGTGGTCCCATAAAATTAGTACCATATAGCCTAGGATGTAGTAGGTTATACCATCTTGGTTTGTGTAAGTACTGTAGGGGAGAAAGAAATTTTCCTCTATCCTTCTAGGTTCTTCTGGCTGGTGTAAGAACCAAATTGACATGAGACAGATTAACAGGAGAAAAACAAACAAGTTTAATATAACATATATACATGGGAGAAAGCCAGGAAAACCAAGTAACTCATCAAAATGGCTGAAGCCCTCAGCTTAAATACCATCCTTAGCTAAAGAGAAAAGAAGATGTTGGGGGTGGGGAGAGTCAGGGACTTCAAAGGGAAGGAATACAATTCACAGGAAGGTGAAAAGGAGCAAATGTTTAGAAAGCAAGTGTTTGTTTGTCTACACGGAAAGAGAAGAACACAGAGGGGAGCCCAACAAACAGGCTTTTCTAGGTTCCTCCCTGTCTACCACCTAGTTCACATTATGCTAAGGTGATAGCTTGCTTCCTGAGACAAATTTTTTATCTGAATTCTGTTTGGCAATCAAGGGGGAGGCAGCAAGAAAAAGTTTCTGAGTCTTTTGTTTCTTAAAAATAATCCACCTAAAATAATCTTCATGTTAAAGAGACATATTTTGGGATGGCAAATTTTGGTCCCCTTCAGTATACTCTATGATGTTCGCACAACAATGAAATTACCTAATGACGTATTTCTCAGAACGTATGTCTGTCACTAAGCAATACATGACTGTAGTACTTTGTAATCTATAAACAGGAATGGAAAATATAAATAGTGGAGTTGATTTGTGGGTGGAGATTGGCAGAATATGTATGGTGGTAAATCAAGGGGATAGGAGAATTGAGAGTGCTGGTTACTGTCATTGAAGACCCACTGTCCATGGAATCTTTCCTAGGTGGAGAAGGAAGTGAAGCCCAAAGGGACATGGTGGCCTTGGAGAATAGGTAAGTGGGTTGATGAACTAAAGGCCTTGAGGAAGTTGAAGGGTAAATTCAAGGAGCGTAAGGCGTAAGAGAAGTAGAAAAACAAGTAGTTCTGACGGTGGACTCAAATGAGTTATCAAAATGAGTTTTGAGTTATCAAAAGGTAACTCAACTAAGTTGGAGTTGGGAAGGCCTGTAGGGGGAGCTCTCACACCGTATCATACATCCTCAATTACTTCAAACTAGAGGAGATGTGGGCTTGCATCTCTGACAGGAAGTACAACTACTTTACTACTGAAGGAAGATTTCTCTTCCCACCTGGCAACAGCCCAGCCAATGAGACACAGCAGCTCAGTTGTTAAGAAGCCATTGCTGCCCTGAACTGTAACTTTCCCCCAATGGACTTTCGTTTTAAACAGCCGCTCCCTACTCCCCCCCCCCTTTTTTTTAATTTTTATTTTTTTAATTTTTTTTAGGAAGATTAGCCCTGAGCTAACATCTGCTGCCAATCCTCCTCTTTTTGCTGAGGAAGACTGGCCCTGAGCTAACATCCATGCCCATCTTCCTCTACTTTATATGTGGGACGCATGCCACAGCATGGCTTGCCAAGCAGTGCCATGTCTGCACCCAGGATCCAAACCAGCGAACCCCGGGCCACCAAAGCGAACATGTGCACTTAACTGCTACACCACCAGGCCGGCCCCCCTTCTCCCCCTTTTGCTCTATAAAACCAAGCTCCCCTCTTGTTCTCCAGATTTGCCTATGGTTCACCATAGTATGCACATCCCAAATTGCAATTCTTTTGGTTATTCCTGAATAAGCTCGTTGGAGAGTAAAATAACAGGTGAGTTTGCTTTTTAAGTTGACAACTCTGTGTTTGGTTTTGGAGGTAGAGCTATCCAGGTGTCACTACAGAAATGGACGATTAAACTGGAGTTGAGATGGAGAAATTAGAATAGGATATGTCAAGTAGCTGTGAAATTTGGATGCATTAGGTCATCAGGGGGGATAATGAAGGCTTTCAAGATGAAAAGGGGAAAGGAAAACAGTTGGTACCAAAGTCTTCAGTGAATGTAGGAGAGAGACCTGGAAGTCGACATTCAACATTTGAGAGGGTGATAAAAGTGAGTAGTGTGAACTTTGAAGAAAGAAGGGCCGTTGAGGGAAGATGGTAAAATAATACTTTAAGGATCCAATGAAGAAGATATGAGAAGATGGTGACCTGATCTCGACTTATGGAAAAGGGTGAGTAAAAGAAAGTGAGCAGCCTCCAACTAAGAGTTTTGCAAGGGAAACAGAATTTGGGACACCCAGAGTTAAAGAGAGGAGATAGAGGCTGAATGGATGAGCAAGGCCAAAGGCAAGAAAGTTTTAGGAAATGGTGGATAGTCCTTTCTTTTTTTTTTGTAAGCAGAGGGTGCAATTAGGGGTGTAATAGAAGATAATATTGGAATCTATGTGATTAGTTTGAATCTAGAATATAACAGAATCATTATAGTTAAAATATTAATTAGGTGGTGTACTAAGGAAACCTTTTGAAGTTATTTTGTTTAGATCTTAGGGAAATTTTGGAACTGGTATTGGTAACTGGGAAGCAGTTTGACAGCTTTGGAATACTTGGACTATGACAAATGTAAAATTGGTGTATATTTGATGTTATTAATGCCATCATTGGAACTGAAGTTGACAATAGATCATAATTTTGGTAGGAATGTGGCCAGTAGACTGTGATAAATTTTGGTCTTTTTGTAATTAGAAAATTGGAGCTTTAAAAATGTGTTGACTTTTTGGAATAATCTTTTTCTATTCTTTTCCAGAACCATCTGCAACCCACAATATATAAAAGACTGTGTAAGATCTACTTTAGTGTGAGGGTTTTGATCTCAAATGCCCTGACTCTGTTTGATATGATTGTACCTCTGTATAAGTAGGATATGTAGCTAGAAGCATAGGAGAAGAGAAAATGTGAAACAAAAATGAGACTGAATTGGAGACGTAGAGCTCCAGTTATGAAAACCTTAAGAAGATTAACTGCTGTGATAGTAATCTGGTAGATTTTCAGTTCTGGCTATCATTTATTATGAACTGAAAGAACAGTGAAATAATTGGATACTGAGGTGCGTAATTGCTGGCAATAGGGTGGAGGAGGAGAGTTGGTTAATTGGCAATGAGCCTTATAGCTGTTTTTATATTAATGCTGTCTATTTGGTATTGGTGGATAACAGCAGAAAAATTATTTATGGTCATGCTGGGGACTTATTACATTGATTTCTACTCTAATAACATGAAAGAGTTTAATGGTTACTCTTATAGATGTAATATTTCTTTTTTTTTGTCATTCTAGCAGCCATCAGAAAAGAGACCACAAAAAAGCTATTGCCTGTACAGTCCTGTTCATCATTTGTGACCTGAGATATTGAGCTCTTGGGTTGTCAGAATTCCAGTTCATGAGGCAGTCTGTGTCATTCTGGTCTAGCCAGGTGAGTAGTCCCTATGGACAAGTATCTTGTTCTCCAGAAAAGAACAAGAAAGAAAAAAAGCAAAGAAGGGGAAAAATATAGATATGAATCTTAGACCCTAGAGAAGTTAAGGCCTGGGCCATAAGCAGCAAATCATGGGGAGAGGACCCTGGGGGTTATGTATAAGTCCAGTAGAGTGATATTCATGAAATATAAACACTGGGAGAACTAAGTCTTTTTTGGGACCTGACGTGACTTCAAGAATGAAGAAACTTAGATTGAACTGCAATAAAAATATCTATAAAGGCAAGGTTAAATAGGAAGCAAGTATGCTTTGAAGTTAAAATGGATAGAAGTTTAATTGTAATGCAGTGTCATTGATGAAATATTAGCTATATAGAGATGATAATCATATTTTAAAGATTAATATTTAATAGTTAAGAGAGAATGAATCTGGCTCTTTCACTTACTAGCTGTGTGATCATAGGAAAATTGCTTACCTTCTCCAAACCTGTTTCTTTACCTTTCAAATAGATTAATGATACTTACATGGTTATTGTAAGAATTAAGTGAAAAAATATATAAAGTGTATAGCATGAAGCCTGGCACATACTTAGAGTTCAATATATGGTCATTATTATCAGGCAGTGGGAGGGCGAGTTACCGAGATGGATGTTCAATAATGTGATGAATTATTCTTCACAGGTAGGTATGCAGTTATTTCTTGTCCGAGCAGCCTGCAGCAAGAAGTTTCAGGGTCAGAACCTCTTGGAGATCAGGCTACAATGAGTGCTAATTAGGTCAGTTTGAAGGAGGGTAACTTCCTTTATTTCCTGGTTTGTAACAAATTAGGTCTTCTATACATTTTCCTTCTAAAATAGTGCTTTTAACATTAGCATTTTTAGTTAGATTAACCATTAGTGTTTTTAATATTTTTGTTTGTTTGACTTGGATCTTGAGTTTTGGGGAAGATAGCAAAATGATGGACAGGTCAGGTAGACAGACCATGCTAATTGAAAACAGAAGATGGTAAGAGTATAAAAGGTAAAGATTTCTCCATAGTCAGTGCCGATCAGCTTTTGGATCTAATTCATTAGGTCACTTGTCTGGGTAGAGTGAAGCAGAATGCCTGGAGCTGAAGTGTCACAGGGAGCCTAAACAGAGGTCCTAATGAGGCCCTCTGGCCAGCCTATTCAAGTTAAGGAGGAGGTAGGCTTCTCAGTCTGAATAGCAAAGGAGGACACAGACTGTACTTTCTATGGACCTAGTTTTTTTTTTTTTTTAAAGATTGGCACCTGAGCTAACAACTGTTGCCAATCTTCTTTTTTTTTTCTTCTTCTCTCCAAAGCTCCCCCAGTACATAGTCGTATATTCTAGATGTGAGTGCCTCTGGTTGTGGCATGTGGGACGCTGCCTCAGCATGGCCTGATGAGCGGTGCCATGTCCGTGCCCAGGATCCGAACCAGCGAAACCCTGGGCTGCTGAAGCAGAGTGTGTGAACTTAACCACTCGGCCATGGGGCTGGCCCCATGGGTCTAGTTTTGTTAGGCCTATAAAGGAGCCGTGGAAGAGGAAGTTTAAAGGTACAGGATTTTTTTTGTTGTTGTTTCACATTCTGTTTGAAGAGTCTCTGATTTAAAAAAAAAAATTTCCTTTTAAATAGACTTTAGTTTTTTTTTTTCTTAAAGATTTTATTTTTTCTTTTTTCTCCCCAAAGCCCCCAGGTACTTAGTTGTATATTCTTAGTTGTGGATCCTTCTAGTTGTGGCATGTGGGATGCTGCCTCAGCATGGCTTGATGAGTGGTGTGACGTCCACACCCAGGATTCAAACCGCCGAAATCCTGGGCCGCCGAAGCAGAGTGCACGAACTCAGCCATTCGGCCACAGGGCCAGCCCCTAAATAGACTTTAGTTTTTAGAGCAGTTTTAGATTCACAGCGCAACTGAACTGAAAGTACAGAGAGTTCCTATATATACCTCCTGCCCCCACACATGCCCAGCCTCTCCTACAATTAACATCCTGCACCAGAGTGGTACATGTGTTATAATCAATGAACCTACATTGACATAGCATTATCGCCCAAAGTCCATAGTTTACGTTAGGGTTCACTCTTGGTGTTATACATTCTATGGGTTTTGACAAATGTATAATGACATGTATCTGTTATCAGAGTATCATACAGAATAGTTTCGCCATCCTAAAAATCTCTGTGCTCCACCTATTCATCTCTCTCCTCCCTACCCCCTGGTAACCACTGATCTTTTTACTGTTTCCATAGTTTTGATCTTACTTTTAAAAACAGCTTTCTTGAAGTATAATTCACATACCACACAATTCACTCATTTAAAATGTACAATTCAATTGTATGATTCAATATATTAATCTTTTCAAAGAACCAGCTTTTGGTTTGGTTTCATTGACTTTATTCATTTCCTGTTTTCAATTTCATTGATTTCTACTCTAATTCTTATTACTTCTTTTCTTCTGCTTAGTTTGGATTTAATTTGCTCTTCTTTTTCTAATTTCCTAAGGTGAAAACTTAGATAATTGATTTTAGATCATTCTTCTTTGCTGATACATGCATTCAATGCTATAAATTTCCCTCCAAGCACTGCTTTTGTGGTATCCCACACAATTTTGATAAGTTGTGTTTTCATTTTCATTTAGTCAAAATATTTAAAAATCTCTCTTGATATTTCTTCTTTGACCCATCTGTTATTTATAAGTGTGTTTTTTAATCTCCATATATTTTTGGATTTTCTAGTTATCTTTCTGTTATTGATTTCTGGTTTAATTCCACTGTGGTCTGACCACAGGAATTGCATGATTTCTATTCTTTTAAATTCTGTTCTTTAAATTGTTAAGGTGTGTTTTATGGCCCAGAATGTGATCTATCCTGGTGAGTGTCCCATATTAGCTTGAAAAGAATGTGTGTTCTGCTACTGTTGGATGAAGTAGTACATAGATGTCAATTGTATCCAGTTGATTGATGGTGTTGTTGAGTTCAACTGTATCCTTACTGACTGCTGGATCTGTCCATTTCTGATAGAAGGGTGTCGAAGTCTCTAAGATACTGGATTCATCTGTTTCTCTTTGCAATCCTATTAGTGTTTGCCTCACATAATTTGGGTCTCTGCTGTTAGGCACGTACACGTTAAGGATTGTTATGTTTTCTTGGAGAAGTGGTCCTTTGATCATTATGTAGTGCTCTTATTTATCCCTGATAACTTTCGTTGCTTTGAAGTCTGCTCTGTATGAAATTAATATAGCTAGCCCTGTTTCCTTTTGATTAGTGTTATCATGGCATATTTTCGTCCACCCATTTACTTTTAATCTATATATGTCTTTATACTTAAAGTGGGTTTCGTGTAGACAACATATAGCTGGGTCTTGTTTTTTGATCCACTTTGACATCTCTATCTTTTAATTGGTACAGTTAGACTATTAACATTCAAAGTGATAGTTTTTACCATATTCATTAGTGTTTTCTATTTGTTGCCCTTGTTCTTTGTTCCTATTTTTGTCTTCCGCTATTTTTCTGCCTTTTGTGGTTTTAATTGAACATTTTATATGATTCCATTTTGTCTCCTTTCTTAGCATATTGACTATACTTCTTTTTTGTAATTTATTTTTTTAGTGGTTGCCCTAGAGTTTTCAATATACATTTACAGGTAATCCAAATCCACTCTTCAAATAACACTATACCATTTCACAGGTAGAGTGAGTGCCTTATAGTAGCAAAATAATCCTAATTCCTCCCTCCCATCCTTTGTATCATTGCTGTCATTCATTTCACTTATTATATGCATATATAAATATACACACATATAAACATGCATAATTGAATACATTGCTGCTATTTTTTTTAAAGATTTAATTTTTTTCCTTTTTCTCTCCAAAGCCCCCCGGTACATGGTTGTATATTCTTAGTTGTGGGTCCTTCTAGTTGTGGCATATGGGATGCCACCTCAGCGTGACTCGATGAACGGTGCCATGTCCGCGCCCAGGATTCGAACCGACGAAACACTGGGCCGCCTGCAGCAGAGCGCATGAACTTAACCACTCAGCCACAGGGCCGGCCCCTACATTGTTGCTATTATTATTTTGAGCAAACTGTTTTCTGTTAAATCAATTAAGAATAAGAAAAATTTCTTCTGTTCCTTTTTCTCTTTCTTCTCCTTCTGGTATTCCCATTATGCATATATTAAACTTTTTTGTTGACCCACAGTTCTTAGATATTTTGTTCCCTTTTTAAAAGTCTTTTTCACTTTGCTTTTCATTTCTGGACATTTCTGTTGATGTATCTTCAAGATCAGAGATTCTTTCCTCAGCCGTGTCCAGTCTACTAATGAGCCTGTCAAAGGCATTCTTAATTTCTATTAGGGTTTTCGATCTCTGGCAATTCTTTTTGATTCTTTATATTCCTCTCTCTCTGCTTAAATTACTCATATGTTCTTGCATGTTATATACTTTTTCCATTAGAGGCCCTAGCATATTAATTATAGTTGTTTTAAATTCACGGTCTGATAATTCCAACATCTGGCAAATCTGGGTCTGGTTCTGATGTTTGCTCTGTCTCTTCAAACTGTATTTTTTTGCCTTTTGATATGCCTTGTAATTTTTTGTTGGAAGCCAGACATGATGTACTAGGTAAAAGGAACTTCAGTAAATAGGCCTGTAGTAATGTACTGGTAAGGTGTGGTGGAGGGGAAGCGCTTTATAGTCCTATGATTAGGTCTCTGTCTTTTAGTGAGCCTGCGCCCCTGGACTGTGAACTTCATAAGTGTCTGTCTGGTTTTTCCTCTCCGCTTAGGTGGTACAGGGTGGCTAGAGGGGACAGGAGTTGGGTATTTCCCTTTCTCCAGGTTGGTTAGGCTCTGATAAAACCCCAATAGGTCAGGCTCTGGTAGTTTCTCTTGAGGGCAGGCCTTGTTAGGTAGAACAGAATGATCTGACATATTTCAAAATGATTACTTTCCCCTCCTCCTGCTGGAATCCTGAGGAGATTTTTCATCAGTCT